ACCACCGTGTAGCAAGAACTATTAAATGATATCTGTGACGACGCGTCTCCAGAGAAGAGGAGGGAGCTCAAACCAAGTGTCTCAGACTGAGAGGAGTCTGAGGAGAGAGTCTGACGAGAGGATTCCAAAAGTTCACAGCAGCCGCAGCTAATTGAATCAAATGAGCCAGAATGAATCTGAAATGGTGTTAAAGTGTGATAAGTTACAGTGCGAGGTGTTTCACAAGGTTTTCCGCGTGCTGCAGACAGAAGTGTGAATGAGTGAATAAAATCCTCAATGTGATTCTTTCTGGAAGAAAAGCTGAAAGTTAAATATCAAAAATAACAACTCTGGTAGAAGATGAGAAAAGTGACAGGAGCGCGTTCGTCTGCGGTGGATGGTTTGAGTGTTTTTAGCAAGAGGGCGCTTGATGAGTTCAGCTGGAGGAGGGGAAGGGAGGAATGTTCCAGAATGCTGATACTGGGGACAGATTACACACACACACACACACACACACACTTCAAAAACACACAAAACAAAGTTAAACCAAAGCGTTTCACTCTTCTCTCGCACTCACTCACAGTTTTACACACTCATATTCTTATACACACACACACACAGTCACACACACAGTCAGTGATCCGGGTGGAATCAAAGGGTATTAGCTGTGCAGTGTTCAGTTCCCCCGGTCCTTTCCCAGCATTCTCCACAGCTGTACGATTACACAGGTGTTTGGCAAAAACACACTGTTAGAGACCGCAGAGGGGCTGTGTGTGTGTGTGTGTGTGTGTGTGTGTGTGTGTGTGTGTGTGTGAGAGGGAGAGGGAGAGGGTGAAAAAAAAAATGAATATGCATGTGTGGTTGCATGCATTCAGTGTGTGTCTGGTTGCACCGCTTCCCTGCAGGAATGTGTGTTCATGTGTGTGCATATTTATCTGTGTGTGTGTGTGTGTGTGTGTTTATACCATTAATTCCTCTCTGTGACTCAGCCCTGCTATTTCCTCAACCAACACATCATCGTATTTTAAATTCACTTTTTTTTTGCTTCCTGTCCGTCTCTTCCTCCTCATTCACATCTGCAGTTTTCTCTCTGTTAGCGTCAGTGTTTCAGCGTTAGTCAGGAGCTGAGGGCTTTAAATGAGGAGGTGAACTGAGTGACCTGATTTAAAAACAATTCAACATGTCGCACAGGTGATCCAGTATCTAATGTGTCAGCTTTCTGATCTTTGTCCTTGTCCGAACTATGTAACATCAATGTCTCACGGTCAAATCTACGACGACATAAAGGAAAAAATGTCGCAAAAACTGAATTATTTAGATTAATCTGCAGACGTGTGTGTTGAGGCTGAGGCCCGACAGAAACGCTGTGAGTTTTAAAGGTTTAAATCAAACCAAACCACCGATCAGATTCTAAATTCTACTTCACGGCACTGGTGGGAGAAGACAAGGGGTCGCCAGGTCTATGTGATTCATCCTGAGGGCACCGTGAAGGTCTGCTCCTGCAGTGTCTGAGATCATTCTCTCAAAGCGACGCGTGTCAACCCTGTGGTGCAGAAACAGAAAAAGACCTTAATACTTAATATACTAGTAATAACGAGTATTTATTTAATTTTTCAAATATCAATACGTGTAAATCACGACATGTTGCTCTCTGGAGTGTGGTGATCTGACCTGAGACAGTTGGAGCCAATGAGTTGGGCCTGGTTTGGATTTGGGCTCAGGTCGGGTTCGTTGGCTCCTTCGTTGTTTACGTACCTGTGACCACAAAAAACAGAACGCTTGTTGGGCTCGGTCGGGTTCAAACACAAAGTTCAGCCTCTAATCTAATTCTTCAAACATACATGAAGCCAGAGCCTGAAGACAGAGAATGATTCTGCTGACTCACTGAAGTGATGTAAAAGAATATAAGAAGATTTTTTTTAGAGTGTTTCCTTTGTGCAGTATTATTCTCCTCATGTTTTCTACAGACCCCAGTTATCACGTGAACTGAGTCACAGCAGGAAACGCTGTGTGTCCTCCGTGCTCCCTCAGCTCGTTATGTAAGAACGTCTATCTATCAAGGATGGTATTTGTGGCTCGGTTTTGTCCCACATGTGACAGACGTTCAGTGTCAGACCATCACGGTGTGTTCCTGCTCTGTTTCAAGGTTGAAACACACAGACTAAACCAGGATGTGTTGTGTTCGTGTTATGTAACGCTTCCCCGACTTCACACACTGATAACGGGAAGTGGAGCAGCGAGAGGTCTGACAGGTCTGGCTGACTGTTTTTTTTTTTTTTTTGTTTTGTTTTCAAAATTTTGAGATGTGACGTTGAGGTCATAGCATTCAACTTATCAAACTATTGATCCGACCTAAAGGACCTCACAGGTCGTATGTTCCGTCCCTCGCATGCAGCCCGTAGCGGTCCCACAGCCCGTAAACAAAGATGGACCACACGTATCCACTTCCTCCTGTTGTACAAACCTGAAGCTAAATATATAATATATAATCCTGGGTACGGAGGCTGCCAGCTTGTGCTTTTTACGTCATTTGAAGTGTGCGCCGTTGTGATCGTCAAGCGGAACCTCAGTATTGAAGTAAGTTTCAATCATGACGTTTCTTTCTGTTTTTATTTCTTTAAATAATTGATTAAATCAAACACTTGAGTCAGTGTGATAAGAACCACCTCATTTAATCTGGGCCCATTGCTATATGATTATAATATATATTTTATATTATTGTATATTTTAGAATGAGGTGGTAACGTCTGTCCAGAGATCACAAATGAAAAATAAAAATCCTGACAAATTCAGAGCATTTTTATTGATATGCACTGTCCCCATAAAAAAAACTCTTTCAGAAAAATGTATTTAACCAATGTTTGGATTTCTTTAGTGTCCATGTCCCATCTGCTCACATGGAGGAGGCGAGGTCTATGACCTGTACTGCAGCCAGGCACCAGGGGGCGATGAAGATGATTTGGCTTCTTCTCAGGGGAGCTGCATGTCGTCCATATTCAAATACAGTCTATAGAGTGAATCAGCAGCAGATTTCCCTGCCGTCATAAGCTCTTCAACCACCAGAGGTCGCCCAACAGTAAAATGTAACAGTCGACCTATGGGCTCATCTTTACATTTTTAAAATAAATTAAAGGTCCAGTGTGAAAGATTTAGGTCAAAGGGATCTATTGGCAGAAATTAAATGTAAAATAATTTGTATTGTACATAATTGTACGATTTGATGTTTTCCTTACCCTAAAATACCCTTTATAATATATTATTAAAATACTTTATATTAAAACACTTTATATTTACATCAGGAGCGGGTCCCCTCTTCGGAGGCCGCCATGTTTTTTTTACAGTAGCCCAGACTGGACAAACTAAACCTTTTGAGTTTTTATGACAACGTGACCCTTCACCACTAGGTGTCACTGCGTTCTACACACTGAGCCTTTAATGAAATGAACTAACAAACAGCTCACGTGTTAACATTCAGTATCAGCCTCACACGGGTCGTGAGATTTGGTGTTTTGGTGATCTCTGCGTGACGTCGGCGCTCTGACAATCTTCTCTGAGATGCAGATTAACAGATTACCTCTTATTTTCTCTTTCTCTCTTTACTTTGTAAATCTGAAATTATAGTTTGGGGATTTCCAGCTTTGCTTTCTTGGTGATGACTCTCGAAATCTTCCAGCTGTTTGTTGACTTTAAAAAGTCGACAGAAACTTGTTATTTATTTCCGCCGTCCACTTCGACGATCAGGATTAAAACATTCGCGTATCAGTGGATCTGTGCTTGCTCCCGTTTTTATTTATGAACTTTTTTATATAAGCTGTTACATGTCGTTTAGTTTTTTCAGAGAGTGAAGGGGCCAACAGACAGGACCACTTTATACAGCAACAAATAAGCCTTTATGTCTTGCCTGCACCTGTGTGTGTTTGTGTGTGTTTGTGTGAGTGAGTGTGTGTGTGTGTGTGTGTGTGTGTGTGTGTGTGTGTGTGTTTTGCAGGGTTTTTTTTTCCTCTTCATGAGAAAAACCCACACATGCAGGGTGTAATTTGCAGAAATAGGCCAGTCATTTCATACCTGCAGGCTGTGGGCTACACACACACACACACACACACACACACACACACACACACACACACACAGAAAGTATTGCAAAGTATTTCCAGGGAGGAGGGTTTTGGTGCAGTTGTGGTTGAGGTGGTGACCCATGCAGGTCAGAAATTGCACTTGTTTCCATGCACTTTACAGTTAATCAATAAAGAGGAAAT